CCATCTGCAAAAAACTGAAACAAGACCCATACCTCACAGCATGCACAAAAACTAACTTAAAATGGATCAAAGACTTAAATATAAAATTGAAAATGATAAAGATCATGGAAGAAAAAATAGGGAGCCCTAGTACATGGCATAAACACAATACGAACCATAAGTAACAAAGCACAAGCACCAGAAGAGAGACTAGATAAACGGGAGCTCTTAAAAATCAAACACTTATGCTCATCAAAATACTTTACCAAAAGGTAAAAAGACAATCTACAAACTGGGAAAAAAAATTTTGGCTACAAGAAATCTAATCAGCGTCTAATCTCTAAAATCTACAATATACTGCAAAACCTCAACAACAAAAAGACAAATAACCCAATTATAAAATGGGCAAAGGATATGAACAAGCACTTCGCCAAAGAAGATATTCAGGTGGCTAACAGACACAAGAGGAAATGCTCAGGATCATTAGCCATTAGAGAAATGCAAATCAAAACTACAATGTGATATCATCTCACCCCAACAAGGATAGAATTAATCCAAAAAAACACCAAATAATAAATGCTGGAGAGGTTGTGGAGAGACTGGAACACTTATACACTGTTGGTGGGAATGTAAAATGGTTCAACCACTTTAGACATCGATTTGGCGCTTCCTTAGAAAGCTAGAAATACCATACGATCCAGTAATCCCACTCCTTGGAATATATCCTAGAGAAATAAGAGCCGTCACACGAATAGATATATGCACACCTATGTTCATCGCAGCACTGTTAACAGCAAAAAGATGGAAACAATCTAGGTGCCCATTAAGGGACGAATGGATAAACAAATCATGGTATATATCCACACAATGAAATACCTCACAACTATAAAGAACAACGATGAAGCCATGAAACATAATACGGAGGAAGCTGGAGGTCATTATGCTGAGTGAATTTAGTCAGTCACAGAAGGACAAATACTGTATAACACCACTATCATAAGAACTCTAGAAAAGGTTTAAACACAGAAGAAAACATTCTTTGATGGTTACAAGGATGTGGGGAGAGGGTTATTTACTAGCTAGATAGTAGATAAGAATTATCTTAGGTGAAAGGAAGGGCAGCACTCACTACAGGGGAAGTCAGCACAACTGGACGAAACCAAAGCTAAGAAGGTTCCTGAATAGAATCAAACACTTTGAAGGATAGAGTAGCAGGGGTAGGGGTCTAGGGACCATGCTTTCAGGGGACATCGAGGTCAACTTGCATAACAAAGCTTGTTAAAAAAATGCTCTGCATCCTACTTTGGTGGGTGGCGTCTGGGGTCTTAAAAGCTAGCAAGCGGCCATCTAAGATGCATCAATTGGTCCCAACCACCTGAAGTAAAGGAGAATGAAGAATACCAAAGACACAAAGAAACTATTAGCCCAAGAGACAGAAAGGGCCACATAAACCAGAGACTTCATCAGCCTGAGACCAGAAGAACTAGATGGTGCCTGGCTACCACCAAGGACCGCCCTGACAGGGAACACAACAGAGAGTCCCAGATGGAGCAGGAGAAAGGTCGGGTGCAGAACTCAAATTCTAGTAAGAAGACCAGACTTAATGGTCTGACTGAGGCGGAGGAAACCTGGAAAGCATGGCCCCTGGATTCTCTCAGAACTGAAACAATTTCTGAGGCCAACTCTTCAGACAGGGATTGGACTGGACTGTGGGACATAAAGTGATACTCATGAGGAGCGTGCCTCTTATCTCAAGTAGATACAAGAGACTAAACAGGCAGCTTCTGTGCAGAGGTGAGATGGGAAGGTAGAGAGGGTTAGGAGCAGGTTGAATGGACACGGGGAATCAGGTGGAAAGGAGGAGTGTGCTGTCACAGTATGGGGAGAGCAATTAGAGTCACATATTTTGGTATGGGAAAAATTAAAAAAAAGAAGCAAGGTTGGTGAGACTTCATCTCACATACTTTGGACATGTTATCAGGAGCGACCAGTCCCTGGAGAAGGACATAATGCTTGGTAAAGTAGAGGGTCAGTGAAAAGAGGAAGACTCTCAACGAGTTGGATTGACACAGTGGCTGCAACAATTGGCTCAAGCATAAAAATGGTTGTGAGGATGGCACAGGACTGGACAGTGCTTCGCTCTGTTGTACATATGCTCAGTATATGAGTCGGAACTGACTCGACAGCAGCTAACAACAACAAAAGAATGAAATAAATACAACACTACATCAGCAGTATTTTAAAGGATTTCCATAGGTATTTGCAATCTATTGTCATGTTAAAAACACTTTGAAATTAAAGCTAATAAAAATATTCCTCAATTAACTATAAGACAAGACAAGCTACATACTCTATTTAACATAAATATATGAAGATCAGTTTTGATAGTCATTGACATAGTTGCAGAAGCAAGGCTTGAAAACTGGAACTGTAATATTGCTATTTATAATTGCAACTGACCTTTTCTGTACTGTAATTTTTTTAACATTTATTACTGGCATAGTTACATACATGTGAAGTTTAATAAAAGAAATTTTTCACTGTCAAAAAAAAAAAAAGATCGACTTTTCTCTGGTAAAGGAATGCTGTTGCTTACTCATTGCCATGAGTATACACTGTCTGTAATGTTCTAAAGCATTTTGTGTTTACTAAGGTTTTCATTATTACGTATGAAAACGCCAATTTAAGTTTATTTTGCCTGGGAGAACTTAGGGAAAAAAAAACTAGGCAACTACACGCCTGTCAACAGACCGCTAGCGCACGGCTGCCAAAGAACCCGGCACCATCCCGCAAACGCTTCCGTCGCCGGTTCCACCCTGGAGCCACGGCGCAGGCGCGCCAGGGTCCCGTCGTACGACCCATACAGTGAAGGGCGCCTGCGCTAGGGACGCCGCGCCCCTTCGCCCCTCCACCCACCCCGCTCGGTATAAAGCCCGCGCGCGCTTCTCCTCGCGAGAGGCTTGGTTCTCATGCTTGCGGTTGGGGTCGGAGGTCAGAGCGAGCGTCTCGCGGGCCGGAGGAGGAAGATGGCGGTGGAGTCACGCGTCACCCAGGAGGAAATTAAGAAGGAGCCGGAGAAGCCGATCGATCGGGAGAAGGTGATGGCCCAGGCGCTCTGGGGTCCAGGCGGAGGTGGGGCCGCGCGCGGCAGCCTGGAGAGCAGCAGGGTCTGCGAATCGGAGGAGGCGGCGGCGGCCTGGTGCGCTGGACGGCCGGAGGGACCGCCGGGCTCACAGCGCTTTCTTTAACTGTTGTCTTTTTCGCCTCTTTCCCAGACATGCCCGCTGCTGCTGCGGGTCTTCACCACCAATAACGGCCGCCACCATCGAATGGACGAGTTCTCCCGCGGAAACGTGCCCTCCAGCGAGCTGCAAATCTACACTTGGTGAGAGACCGCGCGCGGCGGGTGGGCACTGGGGGTTAAGGACCCCCTTCATGCATCTGCATCTTGAACTAATTCCCTTTGCTAGTGAAGAGCTGTTCTTGATTTCAACTTCTCCCTTCCATTCGGGGCCTTTGGGCGTAACTCTCGGAAGGTTAGAGGTTGTAGCTTGTACGGTAGAAAGGGATTTGCCCATCTTGTCATGTTTCTACTGTTAATGTTGAAACTTTTGGGTTGTTACGAAATGACAGATCCAAGATTGCTATCACTATTATGTCTGCCTGGTTCAAGAATGATAGAGAATTAAAATGTAGTAACCAGCCTTGAGAGGCTGTAAAGTTGCATAAGTGGTAGTAGAACAACATGGTCGGAGGAAGTGATGCTGTGTAATGATTGATATTTGTTAGCCTCAAAGAGCATTTCCATATGGTATTAAGCTTTGGGTACCATAGCACCAAAAAATTAATCACCAACAAAAAACAGATGATTTCTGATCTGGATCTCACTGTAAAAATTTCTGGTGTATGTTTGGTGAAGACTGGCTCCTGAATCTTTTTCCTTTGTGTACCTTCCCTACCCCACAGGTCTGATTAAGGCCACCCCATACTACAAGCTTGTCTTTAGTGCTGCATGTAACTCTTTGGTTTGATACCACAATGGCTGTTTAGTAGCAGTAAAAGGTGTGTAAGTTTAAACTGTAAGCCGTGTATGCTAGGACTCAAATCCTTTGAAGATTGGGACCTTATTTGTCTTTTTGGAGGTGCTTGTTAAATTTATGTAGTAGTATGATTCTAGTTTAGCATCAATTACTTAAAGGGTAAAAGTTCCAGGAAGGTTGATTTAACTTATAAGGTAGAGTGTTCAGTAATGGATTGATGAAAACCTCTGTTCAGAAATTAAAGCATGTATTTCTTCCAACAAATAAGAATTATTTACTGGAGTCCCTGGGTGGTGCAAACAGTTAATGTACTCTGCTGCTAACCGAAAGGTTGGAAGTTCAAGTCCACCCAGAGGTGCCTTGGAAGAAAGGCCTGGCGATCTACTTCCAAAAGAACAGCCATTGAAAACCGTATGGAACACAGTTCTACTCTGACACATGTATGGTCGCCATGAGTCTGAAGCAACTCTACAGCAATTGGTGATTGGTATTATTTGCCAAGTGCTGTACTTACACCCTTAGACACCGAGGGTATAAAGTAAAGAAGGTACTGCCGTTGCCTACCGTGAGTTTAGTCTAGTGGAGAAGGCAGATGAATAAATGAAATACCGTGTAAGACTTTAGGATTACAATGGCAAGGTGAGGTTGTACCACTATTTTCTACTCCCAGTCCAGAAACAAAGATTACCAAAAATTCATGTCCTAAATTCATATACTTCAAAGAAAGAGCAACCTTGTGTCATACTCATAATGGTGACCAAAGAAGACAAAGATTCTGAAAGAATGGATGGTTGGTGTGGTGGGGATGGCACAACCCTCCCTGCCCCTACTCCCATAAGCAGTAATGAGGAAATACTAGTTAACAAATCTGGAGAATTCTCATTAACATTGTCCAGTTTGGAAAAGTAGACTGAGGGGCTAAAGTAGGCAGCCCTAAGAATAGTAAAGGAAAAAATGAGAGGACGTCCAGAGGAGCTCAGCAGAGGTAGATTGAATTTACCAAAGTCCAAGGCACTGTGTGGAGTTGGGGGAAAAGCCATTAACTCCACAAGTGGAATGTATATTCTGTGCTTGAGTGATCATTAAACAGGTATTGGAAGAGAACTACGTAGGTCAATTTATCAATCAGGTTCAACCAGAGAGAGAGAACCAGTTGGAGATATATATAAAGAGATTTATTGCAGGGAATTGGCTGATATGATAGTGGGGTCTGGCTAGGCAAGTCTCAACTCTGTAGAGTAGGCCTCTAGAAAGTATAGGCCGGAATTCTTGATTCTGAGCTCAAGGTGCTGTCCACAGATGAGATTTTTCTTCAGGGAAGCGACAACTCTCTTACGGTTTCCAACTGATCGAATCAGGTTCACCCAGATTATCAAGGATAATGTAATCTCCTTTATTTAAAGTCATCTGATTATGGCCTTTAATCACACCTGCAAAATAACTCACAGCAATACCTAGATCATTGTTTTGAATAACTGAGTACTAGTAGTCTAGTGGACACATAAAACTAACCATTTTGGCACCCATAAAACCTCCTTAAACCATAGTTAGTGTCCAAGTAAAGCCAATAACAGTCATACTTCTGCCTGATACGATACAGCTACCTAGTTACAACTGAAAGCACTCTAATCCTTTCCCAAGAAGAGGATGCAAAGTCTTTGGATGATGTTCGCTCTTCTCTTTTGATATCTTATAACTTGAATTCTTTGATAAAAAGTTAACTATTATTATATTAACTATCATTTTATGTTAGATGATAAAGGGATAAGAGAAGGAAAAAACAATATTTGGTTTGTAGACAAACATTCATAACAGAATAAGGAAGAAATACTCATAGACACTGTAATATGGTTGTAGCTGGTATTTATAACTACTCTCTTTCACTATCCATCCCACATTCCCTTTCCCCTGAGTAAGCACTTCAGCTGGTTGGGTTTCTTTGCCTGGTGGAGTGACACAGACCACCTTTCTGAAAGGTCTAAACCATTAATAGTCCTGCCTAAATTGGGCTATTGTAATTTCCCATTGACTTTTATCACAGGCCATGGTAGTAGTAAGAGATGTCCTAAGGGGTCTTTTCTGTATTCCAGACATACTCTTAAGTTGTGCACTAGCACAATTCTGATCATCAGAATCAGTCACCCAAGCAGTATAGTAACTCCCTGTTGATTCAGAGGCATGAGGAGCCCAAAGTGGTTGGGTGGCAGAGTCAGCTTCCAGCTTAGTGAAATCATTGTGTCTCCTGGTGAAAGCATTCCTCATTTTGGAACTAAGATCTCTAGACCAGCAGAGCCTAAGGTTGTGGGGATGGAAAGCAGAACTTTGGCTAGTGGATCACCAAGGGCAGTACTGAGTGGTGCTACTCTCCACCCCTTGATCTCTGGACCCATGAATACTGGCTATTGAGAAACAGCACTGTATATTGGATGCTGATTTAGAGCATATACAGCATCCTGGAGGACATTGCTGTATCTCCACAAGGTATTCCCACTTAGCTGGCACTGTAGCTGGGTCTTCAAAAGGCCATTTCCCCATTCTGTCAAGGCAACTGCTTCAGGATGTTGGGGAACATGGTAAGAACAGTGAATTCCCTGAGCATGGGCTCATTACCTCACTTTATTTGTGAGAAGGGAGTTCATTGATCAAAAGCAATGTTATGTGGAGTATACCATGATAGTGGAGAAGGCATTCAGTAAGTCCACAGATGGTGGTTTTGGCAGAAGCATTGTGTTCAGGGAAGGCAGATTCATACCCAAAGTAAATGTTTATCCCAGTAAGAGCAAAGTGCCGCCCCTTCTGTGATGGAAATGGTCCAGTGAAATCAGCCTGCCACCAGGCAGCTGGCTGATCATGTTGGGGAATGGTGTCATATCAGAGGCTTAGCATTGGTTTTTACTGCTAGCAGATTGGGCACTTAGCAGTATCCGTAGACAGGTCAGCCTTGGTGAATATGGAAGCCCATGTGGGTAGGCCCATGCCAAACCTCCATCCCAGCCACCATGACCACTTTATTCATGAACCCATTGGATAATGACAGGAGTGTCTAGGGAAAGAGGCTGACTGGTTGCCACAGACTGCATCATTCTATCCACCTGATTATTAAAATCCTCCTCTACTGAGGTCACCTTTTGGCACAGAACTATCCGTAAACCAGACCCAAGTTTTTTCTTTCTCAGTCAACTGATCATGATATACATGCAGGCTGGGAGAGAGAAGGTAATGTACAGGAATGGGGGCCATGGGCATTTGGACCACTTCTTCATGTAACTTGTACTTTCAGGGCCTGCTTGAGCCCAGTCTTGCATATACCACTTCATTTGATGATGGAGTGCTGCTGCACACACCCAACTTCATGGCTTGGTGGGTCAGACAGCACCCAGTTCATGATGGGCAGCTCAGGTCGCCCATACAGTCTACTTCATTTAGTCTTTGCTAAGGCCTGATGGCAACCTAAAAGCTGTTTCTCAAAAAGAGTAAACCTCTTCAGAGGATGGCAAGCTTTGCTTCAAAATCCTAAGGGTCTGTGCTGTGATTTCATCTATAGGGGCTGTTAAAGGCACCAAACAGCATCTCTCTCTGCTGCTGACATTCAAAGCACTATTGGATCTCCTGGGTCATATGGCCCAAGTGGTAGAGTAGCTTGCATGGCAGCCTGGACCTGTTGCAGAGCCTTTTCTTTTGGGGGGCTGCACTTAGAATTAGCTTTTCCAGGACACTTGGTGAACGGGCTGGAATAACACACCCAAATGAGGAATATTTTGCTTCAGAAATCCAGCCACAAGCCCACTAGGCATTGTGCCTCTTTTTGGGTTGTAGGAGGGACCAGATGTAACACTTACCTTTCACCTTGGAAGGAATACCCTTTTTTTTTTTTTTAATTTAAAAAAAAATTCTGATGTTGAGCATATATACAGCAAGACATACACCAATTCAACCATTTTTTTATGTACAATTCAGAGACATTGATTACATTCTTTGAGAAGTGCAACCATTCTCACCCCTCATTTTCCGAGTTGTCCCTAAGGTTCCAGACTAATATTTTGAGTTGCTATTTTCACTTTGATCCCATATAGATAGTTCTTAAAAGAGTATAATGCTCAGCAGACATTTTTTTACTAGTTAAGCTAAACTATTGTTTGGTTTTAAGAAAACTTTAGGGGATATTTTTGGTTTAAAGATTATCTCAGTGCAGTAGTTTCAGGGGTTCATCTAGCCCTCTTGGCTCCAGAAAGCCTGGAGTCCATGAGAATTTGAAATTCTATACTTTCCCCCCTTTGATCAGGATTCTTTTATATAATCTTTGATCAAAATGTTCAGTAATGGTAGCTGGGCACCATCCAGTTCTGGTCTCATGGCACAGGAGGCAATTGTTTCTGGAGGTAATTAGCCACATAGTCCATATGCTCTTCCTATTCCTGACTCTCTAGAAGGAATTTCTTAACATGCCCCACACCACTGGATCCCAAGCAATTTCACTGGGGTACAAGGCCCCTGGATTTTTGTCAGATTTTTTCACCCTTCGACAAACACAAATGTCTTACTGATATGTCTAGTTGCTATTTCTTGCTCATCAGGCCCAGCCAATATGCTGGTTCAGTGTAATGAACCAGCATGATGTCTTATGGAGTAGAAAGGTGATCGAGGTTCCTGTGGACTAAATTACGGTATAATTAGAGAGCTGGGGAGTTGGTATCCCTGTAGAGTAGGACAGTGAATGTGTATTGCTGGCCTTGGCAGCTGAAAGCAAACTGCTTCTGGCGGACTTTACTAACAGGAATTGAAAGAAAAAAAATTGCCAAATCAATACCTGCGTACCAGGTAGTAGGAGATATATTTCGTCAAGCAATTAAACCATATCTGGAACAGCAGCTGTAATTGGAGTCACCACCTGGTTAAGTTTATGATAATTCAATGTCTCATTCTCCAAGATCTGTTTTCTCCACAGGCCAAAAAGGAAGTTGAATGGGGATCACCATCCCTGCATCCTTTGAGTTCTTAATGTGGTATTAATCTCTGCAGTCTCTCCAGGAATGTGGTTTTGCTTTTGGTTTACATTTTTTTTTTGTAGGGAGATGTCGTTCTAGTGGCTTCCACATGGTCTTTCCTACCATAATAGCCCTCACTTCACATGTTAGGGATCCAGTGTAGATTCTGCCAGTTGCTCAGTATGTGTCTTCAAATTATGCATTCCAGAACTGGGGAGACCATAGGATGGTTTGGGGACCCACTGTGAGATTAACCTGAACTAAAGCTCCATTGATTGCCTGACCCCCTAATGTGACTGGTAGACTAAAGTGATGTGTTGAATCTCTATGAATTAATGTCACTTCTCAGCCAGTGTCCAATAATCCCCTAAAATTTTGACTATTTCCCTTTCCCCAGTGCAGTTACTCTAGTAAAATGGCCATAGGTCTCTTTGGAGAAGGCTGGGAGAAAGACTAATAGTATAATTTTTTGGCAGTGTAGTAGGATCCTTCCTAAAGGAGACCTGGACTGCCTTTCATTCAAGGGTTCTGGGTCTATAAACTTGTTCAATTCAGGGAATTGATTGAGAGACCATGACTCTGGTGATTCAAGTTAGACTCCTGTTTACTTGATGTAGAGCTCTTACACTTACACAAATCAAGTAAGCTTTTGGTACACCGCCCTAGAAGGGGGACCCCGTGATCAACTAGTCAGTGCCTTTAAATGTTTTCAGATTAGACAGTCAATTCTAGAAAACCCAGAACAAATTCAGAAAACTCATCTTTAAGATTCTGTTCCCCTGGAGCCATTTCCAGTACCAAAATCTCTGTCAGGGTTTAAGTAGAAAAACAGAACCTGTCGGGGATACATATTAAGAGATTTATTGAAAGGAATTGGCTTATGCGATTGTGGAGGCTGGCTAGGCAAGTCCTAAATCCACAGGGTAAGCCGTCAGGAAGGGCTTTCTGGAACTCTCCAGCAGGAGCTGATACTGCTGTGCACAGGGGGGATTTCTTCTTTAGGGAAGCCTCAGGTCTGCTCTGAATGAGTCAGGCAACCCAGATTACCTACGATAATCTTCCTTATCAACTGGTTATGGATTTACCATATCTACAGAATACTCCACAGCAACACCTAGATTCGTGTTTGATTGAATAACAGGGCTATCACCTACCACAGTCACTGAGCAAGTGCTTCAGCCACAGTGGAGCTCTTACTTCTCTGCCCCAAGTCCTCAGGTTCTATATACTAGTGGTTAGAAAGCAGCCACTTGGCACTCAAACTGGTCTGGAAAGATAGGCCACAGAAGGTAGGAAGCTTGGGGAAGATTTACACTGTCAGAACTGATAAAGGGTGTGAACCAGATTCCCCAAGTTAATGATGAGCAGGATGATAATATGAAAATATTTTTTTAGAAAAGAAGGAAGAATTAAATCTGCATATCGTAAGTATATACTTTGTGCCAGAGAATAATTTATATAAAATAATTAACACCAGAATATCAAGACAGAGAAGAAAATATCAGTCTGGCCTCAGACTCCATGCTACTATTGGAAAAGAAGGGGGCAAAGTTAAAATAACCAGAGTAATATGAACTCTGGCAAAGTAAAAATAAACTACAAAATTAGAAGATGAGGAAGGGTAACAACGTCAATCTTTATCTGAAGTTTTAAAATTCCTTCAGTTTCACACCAGTTTTTCTGTTGAATTCAAATAAAGTTACATTTAATAACTTAAAATATGTATAATAGTTAAAGCATAAGTGATGTTTTGTAGTCTGAGACTATAATACGCTTGATAGTTTAAGAAAGTTTTTTTTGTTAGCATTATGTAGAAACAAAAAGATGCTTACAGTGGTGGTAACATGTTGAACTGGTTATTTATTGCATTCTTGCATGTGGGTTTTTTTTTCTCTTTAAATAATAATACATCATTTTTATAAAAAGACAACAGTAACTTAACAGGCAGATGAGTTGAAGGCAATTTATAGGGGGTTGAATGATAGATTGAAATGAAGCAGAGTAAAGAGATTGATTGGCTGTGTATTTAGAAGGACTCTGTATGGAGAAGGACTCTGTGTAACAGAACAGAGTTTGGAAGATGTGAATAATTCTTAGGTTTATGACCTGGACAACTAAGTGCATGATGGTATTTTGATAGGAATATGAAGGGAAGGGCATGTTTTGGGGAAAGTCTGTTGAGTTGAGAAAGATTTGGTAGCTGTAGAGAATGGAAGATGATGTCGTCGTCCTGGCTGTTTTTACTGTTGGATATAGTTGATGCCTTGGACTTACATGAGGATGATATGGTGGGGATTTGTAAATAGGGTACTGAGTTAAGCTAAATGATCTCTTTGGAGTTTGAGTCCCTGCTTGGTGTAAATTAGGAGTTAGGTTCTTCACCAGTGCCTAGCATCCTTGTGCCGTTTCATAACACAAGGCAACTCTACAGGCAATACTGTTTCAAGTTCCAAACCATCAATTTCATTTTCCCAGATGTCATGGAAGAAAACAGTATAAAAATATATACTAGGTTGTTCTTATTTCTGAGATACTTACGTTTTAAAAGATTTTTACAGATTGTGATATATTAGCTTAAAGGGCTGTTAAAAGTTCTGAGTTCAAATAAGTATTTTCAGACTAATAAACCATCAGTAAGGTAAAAGGAGCTTGTGCTTTTAGTCTTGAGAAATTTTCATATATTTTATTTGACTCTAGGACTCCATGTTATAAAATGAATCATAAACTTTCATCTAGAAAAGAAAAAACACCGCACATCTTTCTGAAACTACTTTCTTAGAACATCAATTTTAGATGTATTCCAATTTTAAAGAATGTTAAAATGTGGGAAGGAACATGTCTTAGAAATAATGAAATACAATTATTTTAAGTACTTGGTGGCATAATGGTTAAGCACATGGCAGCTAACGGAAAGGTTGGCAGTTTGAACTCACCTAGCAGCTCCACGGGAGAAAGACCTGGCTATCTGCTTCCGTAAAGATTACAGCCTAGAAAACCTTATGGGGCAATAAGATGTTACATAGCAATAGAAGATGCACATATGTTCTCTGAAGTCCCTTTTAGCACTAAGAATTTGACTTTATTCATCAACATTTCAAACAATGAGGCTGGTAATGAGGGGGTAAATAGTAATTTAGACACAGGTAAATAACTCATTGTAGTCAATATCTGTGTTACGTTATTGCTGATTAATGAAATGTAAATGTCTTTTTTAAATTCAGGATGGATGCAACCTTGAAAGAACTGACTAGTTTAGTAAAAGAAGTCTACCCAGAAGCTAGAAAGAAGGGCACGCACTTCAATTTTGCAATTGTTTTTACAGATCTTAAAAGGCCTGGCTATCGGTAGGTAACTTTTAATTTAATTCTTATCATCTCTCTTTGTTTTGGGTATGTTTTAACTGGTAGGGGCAACCCCTGTAATGAATCTCTTTAGTGGAAAGAATATAGCTTAATTTTTGTATCTGGTTTAGCTTAATATATTATTGTTAGGTGTCGTTAAATCAGTTTTGACTCATAGCAACCCTGTGTGTAACCGAACGAAACACTGCCCGGTCCTGTGCCATCCTCACAGTCGTTGCTGTGTTTGAGCTCATTGTTACAGCAACTGTGTCAGTCCGTCTTGTAGAGGGTCTTCTCTGTTTTGCTGATCTTCTACTTTACCAAGCATGATGTCCTTCTCCAGGGACTGGTCCCTCCTGATAACATGTCCAAATTACGTGAGACAAAGTCTCACCATCCTCGCTTCTAAGGAGCATTTTGGCTGTACTTCTTCCAGGACAGATTTGTTCATTGTTCTGGCAGTCCATGGCATATTCAATATTCTTTTGCCAGTACCGTAATTCAAATGTATTGATTCTCCTTTGGTCTTCCTTATTCATTGTCCAGCATTCCCATGCATATGAGATGACTGAAAATACCACGGCCTGGGTCAGGCGCACCTTAGTCCTCAAGGTGACATCTTTGCTTTTTAACACTTTAAAGAGGTCTCTTGGAGCAGATTAGATTTTTGTACTGTGCTGTAAAGATGATGATGGAGCAAATCCATTCCTTTATTCATTTTGTAAGTAGGTGTTACATTTTATTGATTTCTGAGCCGTTAACAGTTTCTCTCCTTTCTTCCAGAGTAAAGGAGATTGGCAGCACCATGTCTGGCAGAAAGGGGACTGATGATTCCATGACCCTGCAGTCGCAGAAGTTCCAGATAGGAGATTATTTGGACATAGCGATCACCCCTCCAAATCGGGCACCACCTCCTTCTGGGCGCATGAGACCATATTAAATTTTACTTACTGCTTCTTGAATGTATTTTCCAGTCAATTATGTAAAATAAACTTGCTCTTTTCCTCCCCCTGATTATTGCCATTAAGCCTTTAAACTCTATAAACAAATTGTAATGCATCTGTTTAGGTTAGATTTGGCTGTGTTGTGGTATGAATATTAATAGAAAGTCCATATTGTTTCAAGGTCTGCTGTAAAATATGAAAAGTGCTCTTAGCATTCTGTGTTAAATATATGTGTGCAATCAACCTGAGTTTGAAAGTTTATTGGAGGAATGGGAATAGGATTTAATCTAATAATTGGGGTTTATGCTAAGTGATGGGAAGGTGTGTTTAAGCCCAAATAGGGCAGAAAAGCCATGGGATTGTGTTAAATTGACCACTAGTTTGTAGTATGGACTACAGCAGGCAGTTAGAAGAAGAACCAGTGTGAATGTGAATGAGGAGGCACTTTGGAATAGTATGAGCTGAGGGAAGCTGGAAAAAGGAGAGTGGGTCCCACAATGAGGGCCTTTATTGTTTAAAATGGGGAGAACGGCATTTTGAAGGCAGGCCGCAGTATAGAGGAAACGGGTTAAAATTTAGGGGTCAGGGTAGAAAGGTTTACCTTGAAGATCTGAAAATGTAGGGAGGGATTAAAAGTAATCTTAGTTAGACCAAGTGAAGCAGAGCCAGGGATGAAGTCAGGCTGAGACAGTAGGGGATATTCACATGTTCTGTTACGTGCTAAGGACTGGTAACGTATTTAAAATTTGAGATTACATAAGCTATCTATCTGATTTGGGAGTCCCACTGAGTGAGGCTAAAGGTTTAAATCCTGATTGCACCATTGGTTCTGCAACCTTGGACAAGTTACTTCAATCAATTTTTATGAATTTGTGAAGTGAATATAATAGCCTATACTGTTGTGAAGATTAAATATTCATGAAAGGCTAACATACAAGAAACAAATATTAGCTACTAGCCATAAATAGGAGTTTAGCTAAAACTGGGAACTAAACTTCCATGGACTATTACACCTTGTTTTGAAGTATGGCAGTATGTTGTAGGTAGAATCCAATAGTAATTCCTTGCTGTAGTCTAACTACTTTTAGTCTCTTACAATAAAAAATTGAAAATGTATATTCCAAGAAGAAAATATATATACTAATGATTTTCAATGTAAAATTGCATTAGTTTTATCTTGTACATATGAACACAGCCATTTAAAATCTGATGATTCTGTAGAATTGGTATCACTGCTGGAAAATAAATCAGCACGTGGCAGAGACAAGCCTGGAATCTAGATTTAGTACCTTTTCTACCCAGTAGCTTATCCCAAACCTTCAGATTACATATCCATTCAGATTGGATAGACTTGCGTTCTTTATGCTGTAAAATTAATTTGAACCTAATTTTTTTTAACAGGAGTTATGATTACCATCCTATTTTTAGGAAAAAAAGTGCTGATTTACTATGCAGATGAATATAAAATGGTAGGAACTAAATAAAAGACCTTTGTAAGGCAGTTTTTCATATGTTGTGAACTCTTTAACAATGAGGATTTCCTATAATTTCAGATTATTCTCCCACTAGTTTAAAATAAAGTGGTTTGGCTGATTTACCAAATTCTACCCTTCGGTTTCAACATGGAATTTTTCTTTTGTGTCAATTTCCCACCAAAAGTACTATTAAAGAATACCTGGTGATTTTACTACTGTGGGTAATGCTAAGAATCAAAAGACTTTTTTTTAATTCTAATTTTCCTTTTGACTTGGTAAGTTAAGTATGGCTTGGTAAGTAATGAATTGTTTCCTTAAATAGAAAATAGAAATGGTCATCACGACGGCACTGCGCTTAAGTACCTTATTATTTGCCCCGACTTCCTCACTCATAAGGTGTCTTCCTCACTTACTCATAAGGTGTTTGGGAGTTGAAATTTTCCCTATGGAAAATGTGAGTATAGCACATGGCATTTCCTGTATCTTCATTTTTCTCACAGTGTGCATTAAGTTGGAATTTTCAGTTATTCACCAAGACCCTCAATAGGGAATCTTAAGATTATGAGTTTATAATTAAATTTTTGGGTTTTATGTACAAAAAGTAACCACGACTGTTACACCCATCATAATCATTGGCTCAGGTGATGTTCAGGTATCAATTTTGTGCATGTGTGTGTATGACATTATTAAACTGGCTAAGTTTAAAATTCAAGTACTGTCAATCTTAAGAGCTAAATCGGCCTACATTGTATTCCAAAAAACTTGTTTTTTGTGAAATTGAGAAGGCAATATCATAAAACCAATAGGAGTATATTATAATGATTGATTTGAGCATATAACCTTCACATTACATACAATTATTGTTCTGTATAGTTACCAATTTACTGATGAGATTGAGGCCTAAATTAAGTAACAGTTCATGGCGGGACCAAGATGGCAGAATAGTCAGATGCTTCCTGTGGCCCCTCTTAAAGATCAAAAAGAAAAAATAAGTGAACTGACTGACTATATATGACAATCTAGAAGCCCTGCACATCAAAGACAAAGTTGAAGAGTCAGAACGAGTGGCAAGGGGAGGGAGAGACAGTTCAGAAGGAACGAAGAGATGCCAGACCTGAGCCAGCACCCTGCAGGCTGGATCCCTTGGCACATGTGGGCTGAGGCAAGCGGTGGTGCTTGGGACGTGTTTTGCCATGTGGAGAAAAACCAAGCGGCAGAGAGTCTGTGCGAGCCTCCAGAGCCAGGGGAAGCAGCACTGGATCTGTGAAAGTTAAGTGCAAGCATCTAACCTACCACACAGGATCAAAATAACCCTTTCCCTGGTGGGACTTTCGTAAGGGAGAAGGCATCTCTTCCCCTCATTTGCCCTCTCCCCGCTCTTCTCTGGTGCCTGTCTAGCAGTGTCAGCAGATCTGTAATGCCTGACCCAGTCTCCCGGCTTTGGGGGGGGAACAAGTAAACACACACAAAAAGGCCGCCAGTGCCCCTAAGCTGGAAGCTCAGGGCTAACCCAAACCAGTCCCACAGCTTTAAAAAATCAAGCCAGGAACTCAGGGCAGGCACTATCCCTTTGCCTAGACACAGGCATAAGGGGTCTATGGACTTCGAATGCCTTTCACCCCTGCCTAGACCTATGTGGGCCCATTCAACAGTGTAGGCCCTCGTTAGCATAGTATAATAGGGTATATACCTGAAGCCTATTTTCAGTTGCAACAGCTAAGTGAGTGGCAGATTTGTGACATTTGACACTACCCTGCCCATTAAACGGGGTCCTCACCCACCCACATCAGGGGCCCGAGGACTGGCGCTTCACCCTATCTACCTAGCCACCCATGACAGAGGTCTGAGAATAAGTGGTGCCTCCCAGTCCTTACAGCCAACAACATTGGGTCCTCAAAGTCCAGCTGCAAAACCCATCCACCTATGCACTCTGGGGAACAGGGACACACCATCCACCTAGGCACTCAGGGGCAGCCATCAGCCACCTACCTTGCTCAGCACATAACCCCAACTGTAGCCAGATACCTGTCCTTGCTCCAATCACCCCTATGTAGCCCTGCCTGTCTAGGACTGTAGGTGAGAACCTGCACCACAGTGACTGACAACCTGGACACCTGAGCTGAATCCACACAAGAAAAGTAAATGGACTCCTGGACTCATACACTTAGTAGAAGATCTAACCACCTGGTGACAGGAGGTGAGAGCTTCTAAGATGACAATAATCAAAGAAAGGGGTGGGGAGGGGGTGGATAACAGAAAATACAGAGAGAATTGTTGAAGACTTCCTAGCAGAAAACATCCCTGATAACATGAAAAATGAGAAGATATCTGTCCAAGAAGCTCAACGAACCCCACAAACGGTACATCCCAAGACATAACTATAATCAAACTTGCCAAAACCAAAGATAAGAGAGAATTTTAAGAGCGGCTAGGGATAAACAAAAAGTCACCTACAAAGAAGAGTCAATAAGACTAAGCTCTGACTACTCAGCAGAAAGCATGCAGGCAAGAAAACAATGGAATGACATATATAAAGCCTTGAAGGAAAAAAATTGCCAGCCAAGAATTATATATCCAGCAAAACTGTCTCTCAAATATGAAGGTGAAATTAGGGCATTTCAAGACAAACAGAAGCTAAGGGAATCTGTAAAAACCAAATGAAAATTACAAGAAATAGTAAAGGGAGTCCTCCCAATAGACAATCAATGTCACATAACAACACAGGATTAGAACACAGAACAACCAGATATCAACCTAGATAGGGAAGTCACAAAAATAAGTCAAAGCGAAAACACTGAAAATAGGGAAACAGAGACGCCAATATGTAAAAGATGACAACACTAAAACAAAAAAGAGGGACTAAATAGTGTAGTCATAGAACTTTCATATGGAGAGGAAGTTAAGGTGATATTAAGAAGCAAAAGATTGGTTTAAACTTAGAAAAACAGAGGTAAATTTAAAGGTAACCACAAACGAAACTAACAAATCTACACATCAAAAGAAAAAAGAAAAAAAACATACTCAGCAAATACAAAAGAAACAACAATGAAAATACAGAAAGAAAAACGACAACACAGAAAATTAACTGTAATAAAGAAACTGTCAACACCACACACACACAAAAACATCAAAATGACAGCAGTAAACTCATACCTATCAATAATTACACTGAATGTAAATGGACTAAATGCACCAATAAAGAGACGGGGTGGCAGAATGGACTGAGAAAACGTGATTGGTCTATATGGTGCCTACAAGAGACACACCTTAGACTCAAAGACACAAACTAAAACTTAAAGGATGGAAAAAAATTTATCAAGCAAACACTCAAAAAAGAGCAGGAGTGGTAATTTTAATCTCTGACAAAATAGACTTTAAAGCAAAATCCACCGCAAAGGATATGGAAGGACAGCATATAATGATTAATGGGTCAATACACCAGGGGGACATAACCATAATAAATATTTACGCACCCAATGACAGAGCTCCAAGATACATAAAAGAAACTCTAATAGCACTGAAAAGAGAAATAGCTCCACAATAGTAGTAGGACACTTTAACACACCACTTTCAGTGAAGGACAGAACATCCAGAAAGGAGCTCAACAAAGACACAGAAGAGCTAAATGCTACAATCAACCAACGTCAACTCATAAACACATACAAAACACTGCACCCAACAGCAGCCATGTATACCTTCTTTTCTAATCCACATGGAACATTCTCCAGAATAGATCACATATTAGGCCACAAAACAATCCTTAACAGA